TAATTATTGTTAGAAAAATATACTAAAAGCCATGTTTTTATGTAATGGGATTTAGTATTTGTTTTTAATGATATCAGTTATTCTAATTTTAATGAGAATTATTAGGAGTAATATTTGCATTATAATATTTGTCTAATGTGCATTTGTGTATTTTATTCTACGAAGTATGTGATTTGGTAAGTTCGGCTTACATACGAAAGATTGTATCATTAATTCTTGTAGAATATAAGTGGTTCATAGTCCAAAATAGATTTGGACACACCATCAGTACAATTGTAGCATGGTGTTTGAGTAGGTCTGTCTTGACAACGGGGAAATGGTAAAATTTCAACTTATTGTGCTAATATGCTTTGTGTGTATTGAACAATATCATCTTGGGATAATTGTTCATGTACTGATTGGATGAGACAATTTACATTCCATAGTTATTATGAGTGCTTATGTTCCTAATCTAAAAATAATTAATAATCACATGTATTTAGTGTTGGTCATTTTGATTCATAAAAGAGTGAGATTCTTTATGAGTCAATAAGCGCTGTGAGTTAGGTGATCACTTTATGTGTATGGTGGACATTAATTATTGACAGAATCTACGTTCCGATTTAGGGATAGATAATACCTCCTTGAAGAAGCTTATAAGCTTTGATTATGTCAAACTCTACAGATGAATTTTGTATCTGACATATCAAATAAGTTAAGTGGAAAGTCTCAAGAAAATATTAAGAAGTCGATTAAATATGTCATTAATTTATTTAATTGACAGGTATTAGTAATCTTAACATGAGGAAATAAATAAATATTTAATAAAGTGGAGCTCGAAATATAATTTGGAGATTAAGAATGAGATGCAATTACAATTCTTTTGTAGTATGAATTATAATTTCTGAAATTAGGAATTATAATTCAGGTTGAATTAAGTTTTCCAAATTTCATAGGGAGTCCTAATCCTAATCAACTCCTAATGGTCCCTACTGTAGCCTATATATATATATATATGCGTCCTTGTAACTCTCTAAAGGAGACAATTTTTTCAAGTTTTGAGAGAGGGAGTAAGGTAGTTCATGTTTTTGAGCTCACACTTAAATCATGATCAAGCATAAGGAAGGAACACAATAGAAGATCGTAAGATGCAACCAAGTTCGGAGTTCATCAACTTATCTTTTGTTTGTGATTTAAATGAGATCAAGCCAGAAAACCAACAACAACCTAAAAAAGAACAGAAATGAAGCAAACATACTGCATAACAGCAAATTGCACTGAACACAAACACCAAAAACTAAGCAAAACTCCTACAACAACTGGGCTTGAAACAATCCTGTTCAGAAAAGGGAAGCAATCCTGTTCAGAAATAGAACCACCATCTGGGCTTGAAACACCAAATCACACAACTGATAAATCTGACCAACAAATGGGGCTTAAGGAACAAAACCACTGTAGAGAAACTAGATCAATCTCCACCCAGATTCAGAGCAAAATGCAGCACACAGATTGAGACCAACCCATTGAACTGATAAATCTGGACAGCAAGGAATTAGATCTGGACACCCAAAATTGAACCGCTGCAGATTTTATGCCAGGAAGGAAATAGATTAAAACCCTGTACTACAACAGATAGAGTAATGGAGCAGCACTACAACCTCCCTTACAACCAACTGACTACAACACAGCCAAGCAACACCCCAAACTGCAGAAAAGGGAGCAGAGCAGATCAGAGCAGTCACCAAAGCTATACATCAGATATACTTCAGATTGCAGATCAGTCTTCATAACAAGCAGACTGCACAGCATATATATTTCAATTTTGCACAAATGCAAAGCTAGGTGAGGACACCTAAACCCAGAAATTACACAGACTACACCTCTGGCCTTAGTTCAGAATTTCCACCCTTTAGAACAACAACATAGCTACACCACACAGATGCAAATCTACACACTACCACCCTTCAGAGTTTCCACACTGCAACACACATCTGTTCCTTAGCACAGATGACAACACAACAAAAACACACCAGCAAAGGCACACTATAGCACACTACAGCAGTTCAGCCCATTGCACCTACCCCTCCCAAACACCTCATAATTTGCCTCAGATTGGTTCCAAAATCCTGTATAGAGAACTGAAAATCTCTTAGATATGGATTTACCCAGAAAGCAATCCTGTTTTTAATTTATTCACAGAGATCCTCTAAATTTGGGGGAGTTGCTCTGAAGACACACTCATTCCTGCATCTCCAGACTGACCACATCACTGCCAATGGAATTGCCCCCCCAAATCAACCTTTCTTTCTTCTTTAACTTTCCCCCAGCCCACCACAGGAGGAGACTCTCCACAGAGCATGGCAAAGCAGATTGGACATCCCACAACTTTAGCATTTCAGTCCATATGTTCCACACAAATGGGCACCAGATTAAGACATGGTTCAATGATTCACTTTCGCTGTTACAAAACACACAAACTGTGGAGTCATTTTCACAGATCACTCCAAGCTTTTGTAAAAACTCCCTGGTCTTAATTCTCCCTTTCCAAGCAAACCACCCAAATAATTGTACCTTAGGAGGGACATGTTTGAGCCACAACAATTTAGTAATTCTCAGGGTGGCACCAGCATTATTCGCAACAAAACTTTACAAATCTGCTACTTTTAGGACCCCAAGAGATGAAGCTGCCCAAACTGGATGATCTTCGCACTCAACACATAGATCAGGGGCTGCCACCGGGAGATTAATGAGCCTAACCAATTCCATCTCCTTCCATTCATATAGCTGTCTTCTAAAATCAAAAGACCAAGCCCCTGCTATGGTTTTTTTTATCAACCAAGACTCTCAAGCACTCTTTTTTTTCCAAAGACAACCTATACAGAGTTGGAAATTCATCTTTCAGACACACAGATTGACACCAAGCATCAGACCAAAATCTAATCCGCACCCCATCCCCTACTTTCAATTTGAAATTATGCGAATAAAACTCCTTTAAGCTACTGCTCTGCTCAGCAACCGCGATAATTCCATTCCACACCGTTGAGTACCCATTGGATGGATTTAAAGATGGAAACCAACTAGTCACCTTCAACTTGTATCTACTACAAATGATTCTTTTCCACTACCAAACCTCCACCACCACTTGACTAGCAAGCATTTATTTACATCCCTCAAGTTTCTAATGCCCAAACCACCTTGATCTACTTTTTTTGACATTTCCTCCCATTTTATCATATGAATTTTCCTTTTCGAATAAGAACCACCCCATAAGAAATTAGCTTGAAGCTTCTCCAATTCTTTAGCAACCCCTTCAGGCATTTTAAACAATGATAAATAAAACACAGGCAAAGCTGAAGTTACTGATTTAACCAGTATTAACCTTCCCGCAAAAGACAGCATCTTCCTTTTCCACCCAGCTAGTTTACTTTTCACTTTATCCACTACTGGTTTCCAAGTAGTTAACTTCCTTGGATTAGCTCCTAGTGGCATCCCTAGATAAGTAAGTGGCAAAGATTTAACTTTACAATTTAGGATTGCAGCCATATCATTCATCATCTCCGCAGAAACACCCACACCACATACCACGCTCTTGTGAAAATTTATCTTCAAACCAGACATGATTTCAAAGCACCCTAGCACCCTTTTCAATTTTCTCACCTCCTCCACCTCTGCTTCACTGAATAAGAGTGAATCATCCGCAAACTGTAAATGAGTTAACACCACCCCCTCACAACCTACTTTTACCCCTTTGATTAGGTTTAGCTCACAAGCTCTACTCAACAACATGTGTAGGCCTTCAGCTACTAAATTGAACAGAAAAGGGGATAGGGGGTCACCTTGCCTTAGCCCTCTTTGAGGGCTAAACTCTTCGGTAGGAGAACCATTGACGAGTACTGAGACCCTTGCAGTTGTAACACACTCCTTCATCCAATTAATCCATTTAGATCCAAACCCAAACTTGGAGAACATATCAAACAGAAAACCCCAATTAATAGAGTCACATGCTTTCTCAAAATCTAACTTAATGAGCACACCTTTCTTCTTGGCTTTCTTCCAACCCTCGACAACCTCATTAGCAACAAGTACTCCATCTAGAATATTCCTCCCGTTTAAAAATGCAGACTGAGGCTCACTAATAATATGTGGCATTATGGATTTCAATCTGTTTGCCAACAGTTTTGCTATGATCTTGTACATTGAGCCTACCAAACTTATTGGTCTGTAATCAGAAAGCCCTAGTGGATTATCTCTCTTCGAAATGAGGGTTATGAAAGAGCTATTTATACCTTTAACCAATTTGCCATCCGTATGAAATTCTTTCAAAAAATTAATGACATCGCCCTTCATCACCTTCCAAACCTTCTGATAACACAGCAAATTAAACCCATCCGGACCTGGTGCTTTATTCCCATCACAATCCATCACTGTAGATTTAATTTCTGATTCTGTAAATTCTGCTTCTAGCAATCCGAAACACATCTTGCCTTTAACTGATGGAAACTGACCCCCCAGCACAGGTCTTGAAGGCCATAGTTCTGCATACTGTAACTTAAAAAATTCCAGCACTTTACTCTTCACTTGACTTGGATCATCAAACACCACCTCCCATTCTGAAATAGAGTTTATCTCATTTCTTATTGTTCTACACTTTGTAACGACATGAAAAAATCTTGTATTTTTATCCTCTTTCATGGCCCAGTTAAGCCTAGACTTTTGCAACCATAGCCACTCCACCATCCTACTCAACCTCCACATTTCAGCTCTAGCTTTACTTCTCCTCATTTTTTCCTCTCCATCAAGGTCTCTAACCTCAGCCAGCAGATCAAAGCTATGAAGCTCACCCTCTACTAACTTCAATTTATTTATAACATTACCAAACACCTCCACATTCCAACTTTTAAGACCATTTTTCATGAACTTAAGCTTCTATGCCAGAATAAAACCAGCCCAACCCACAACAGTGGCCTCTTCCCATTTAGACTCCCAGAATCTTCTAAGGTTTTTATGCAAGAACCAAGCATTTAGAGCCCTAAAGGCTTTGGGCCCCAGTCCCTCTCATCCTCCATCATAAGGAGAGGGCAATGATCCGAGACCAAACGAGGCAAACCCCATAACTTTAACTTGAACACCTCAAGCCATTTTGGATCTACTAACACTCTATCTATTTTGCTCCACTTCTTCCCAACAAATGAATTACACCAAGTAAATCTCCTTCCAAGTAAAGGTAATTCAGAAACCTCACACTTATCAATAAACTCATTAAATTCATTCATGCCTCTATCCCTCCTTGAGCACTCTCTCCTTTCCCCAATCTGTCTAATCTCATTGAAATCTCCTCCTAAACACCAAGGATCAGGAAACTCCTCCTCCAATTTCAATAAACAATTCCACAGCTTCCCTTTTGAGCCCACATCATTCGGTGCATAAATGTTTATAATAACACAATTGAACTGATGGAATAAAGTACTTGATAATAGGATGAACCTTCTATTGCTGCAGCATTCCTTCACTTGGAATACATCTGGGTCCCATATACACAATAACCCTCCTGCCAAGCCTTCAGCATCCACCACCATAAACTCCATTTTGGCTCTAACCCATACAGATCTGACATCTTCCTCTGAAAACTCTGACTTTTTTGTCTCTTGGAACAGTACCATGTCTACACTCCTCTCCTTTAAGAGCTTCTTCACTTTGCTTCTCTTCTCCATCCTCCCCAACCCTCTGACATTCCATGAAAGCAACTTCATAATTAACCATGTTTACACCTATCTAACCCCCTACTAGTGTACTTTATAGCCCAGCTTTCTTCCCCCCTTCAATACGCTCCATATCCTTCAATTCAAGATCCACTATTTCCTTCACCACTTCAGCTCTCTTGCCATTAAACTGCATCCCGAGAATTTCTCCAATTTTTACGGTTGCTTCGGCTTCATTCAGTATAAACCTCCCTTTGTCGACTCCATTCTCTATTGAAGCAGATAGAGACGTTGCCGCCACTGTTGCACGCCAAGCTGCTGCCTTACGCATGGCTCTACTAGTTAAAGCACCTCTGCTCCCATACTGCCTCATCATCTCGAAGGGTCTTCTTCTTAAAATGTTCTGATTAGATTTTCTCCTACTGTTACTCCTCTCCTTTACCTTTTCCTTCCCCTTCCTACATCTTGAATGCTTATTACTTGGCTCCTTCTCTTGGGCTTCTGAGAGGCTTGACAGTCTCCCACAATGCCCTACTTTAGCAGCGTTAATTCTTTCAGATGATTCTTGCTGCCCCAACCCAGTTTCTAGTGGCCCCAGCCCAATTTCTGCTTGACACAGCCCACCCACTTGCTTTAATAAATTATTATGGCCCAAGACTACTTCTATATTCACACCAGACCTTTCAAGGCTAGACCCTCCAAGACTTCTAACAAAACCTGGGGTGCCCACTTGGTTCTCCAAACTCTCACTGACAACCATCTCCTCCTCAGAGCTGATCCTCTGGCTCCGCACTTCCATCATTTCTTTGCACGACTCATCACTCATTTCTTTCCCCCTATCACTTCGAACATTTTGAGCTTCAACTACACTCCTCCAGCATGCCACATTTTCCACCTCCTTCCTCACACTACGACTACTTGGTCTGGTTTCTTGGTCCACCCCAAAGCCAACCTCCAGGTCAGCAGCTAACTCCTACTCCATGTCAGCAGCATCATCTACTTCCGTTCTAAACCTGGCGTGCCCACTTGGTTCTCCAAACTCTCATTGACAATCGTCTCCTCCTCAGAGCTGATCCTCTGGCTTCGTACTTCCATCATTCTTTGCACGATTCATCACTCATTTCTTTTCCCCCATCACTTCGAACATTTTGAGCTTCACCTACACTCCTCCAGCATGCCACATTTTCTACCTCCTTCTTCACACTACGACTACTTGGTCTGGTTTCTTGGTCCACCCCAAAGCCAACCTCCAGGTCAGCAGCTAACTCCTACTCCATGTCAGCAGCATCATCTACTTCCGTTCTGCAATTTCTATCCTCATCTTGTTCTCCCAGCACATTTGAACTACCAAACTCATCTATAACTTGATGCTTATGACATCTACATGTAAATTTCAAAGCTCTGACCGTTACCACCTGTTCTTCGCAGACTCTTACTGGAAATACCATACCTCTGCATTCCAGTTGCACAACTGAGTTTATGGGATCCATCCATTTAGTGGATACCTTAAGCTTAGCACACACAAAGGATAGTGGTTGACTCATATCCCCTTCAAAACATAGCACCTGCCCCCAGATCCCACATATCTTTATGAGATTGGAACTATTCCACAAATGTAATGGGATTCCATAGCAACTTAACCATACACATCTTTCCTGCTCCAGTACCTGCCCAGATTGTCCTTCAGTAATATCTTCACACCACTCCGTGATCAGCTCCTTAATAGCTGATAATTTCAATGCCCTCTCCTCCTTTGATTTAAACGTAATTACCACATCTCTTCCCCCACTTTCCCTCACCATGATATCCTCCACTCCTATTGCTGCCAATTCCTTTTTCAGACTAACATCAGCAAATTGGGCCTTCAATCTTACAATGATGCTCTCAAACAACCAGCCATTTCCTGCCTCCTCTGCCTTTAGTAGGATGTTTCCTATTTCCCTTGTCCTTTTTCCTTCCACAGCCTCTGCATAGGATCTCCTATCTTTGATGCCACGAGCCCCATCTCTAACCACTCCAGCTTGTACGGCGTTTGCTACTGGTCTCTGCACTTGCTTATGTACTGGTAGTCTTTCATCTTTATCAACTCCATTTTCCTTCCCAAACTCTGCGTGGTTAACCTGTAATGGTCGATCGTCCACCCACAAGCCATTTGCCTTCTGTACAGCTATCTTGGCTGCTACATAGCAATTAAATCTCACAAAGCCAAACCTCGTGTTAGAGACCTTCCTTCTCTTCTGCGGTATAAAAACATCTAGGACCACTCCAAACTTTGAAAACAGATTGAACAGCTCCTTAGGGTTCATCGATGCTGGTAGGTTATCCACGAACACGGTGAACATGCTTGCATTTCCCCTCGACCTCCATGGCACTGATCTTCCTCTGCCCTTCACGACTGGTGTCCACCCTACTGCCATGACTTCCCTGAATCGCAACAGAGGACCTGCACAATATACTTTCTGCCTTCTCTTAATGCCTTCGCCTTGATCTTGTACTGAGAATCTTCAATGAAACTTAGCACTTTGATCGGCGATTGGTGGCACTTCGCACAACGGTCAAAGATTGTATATATATATATATTTTTAATAAAGTGGAGCTCGAAATATAATTTGGAGATTAAGAATGAAATGCAATTACAATTCTTTAGTAGTATGAATAATAATTTCTGAAATTAGGAATTATAATTCAGGTTGAATTAAGTTTTCCTAATTTCATACGGAGTCCTAATCCTAATCAACTTCTAATGGTCCCTACTGTAGCCTATATATAGATATATATGCGTCCTTGTAACTCTCTAAAGGAGACAATTTTTTCAAGTTTTGAGAGAGGGAGTAAGGTAGTTCATGTTTTTGAGCTCACACTTAAATCATGATCAGGCATAAGGAAGGAATACAATAGAAGATCGTAAGGTGCAACCGAGTTTGGAGTTCATCAACTTATCTTTTGTTTGTGATTTAAATGAGATCAAGCCAGACATATCTGAAAGGTATAACCCTAATTCCACCTTGTAGGGCTTTATAGATCACTATGTGCTTTTTTTTTTGGTCTAATCTGTACGTGATATCATTGTACTATCCCAGGTTCTTAGACCCGATTTAAATTCGTTAGTTTGGTTGTCCCGTTTAATCTTTGGGCTTGTTAATGAGTAGTGGCGTCATCATTCTCTTGTTTATCTTTTATGGTATGTTGTTGGTTGTTGGAGGTAGTTTTTTTGGCTTGGAATTTGTCTCAGGGACTGAGGAACAAGTTTTGTTCTAGGTTGGTCGCGCCCGCGACCTCAACCATCGTGGCTACAAGTGTGGTGGTCGCACTCGCGGAACGCCGCTACCAGGCCGTAATTGAATTGTAGCTTCAAGTCTGTTGGCTTGGGAAGTAAGGTGCATGGCCTACGATGAGTGTGTGTCCCACGGTGAGGGCTCGCAACCATCATGGTCGCACCCGCGGTGTTCCTCGCACTCGTGACATGCTTAGTTGGCTTGGTCACGCCCACGGTCAGGGCTTTGCAGCCGCGACCTGTTTCGTATAAAACAGAGCAGTCCGTGAAATATCTCATTTTTTTGATCCACTTTCTCTTCTCTCTCTCATCTGGAGACTTTTGCCCTAATATTCTTGGGCTTAAGTCTTGATTTTGAGGCCTTTAGCCTTGGATTTGATCTCTGAATCCTTTGTGAGTGTTGTAGAGCATGGCGATGGCTTTGTTTTAATCTCGGTGAAATCTTGTTTTCGACGTTGGATGTCGCCTCTACCTTCTCATCTTCTCTTCAAGAGGTAAGGTTCTATTTCATTGACTCAATATGAGTTTGTTAGTGTGTTTGTGGTGGTTTTGATAAAAAGAATCATGTTGTGACTGTGTTATGTTTTTATTTTGGGTTTAGTTTTGAAATTCATGATTTGGGGTTGAGGCTTTGATGAGATTGGGAGCTAATTGGCTATGATTTTGCTATTCAATCTGATGGCTTTTTTTTTTGGTAAAAAAGATAGCATGTGGATATTTGAAAGGGAGAAAGCCCCAATTTGTAACACAAATCTAAACGTTAGTATTTTTAGGAAATAATTGGATTGTTTGGGTAGGGGTTTGTACTTGTTTTGAAATTGAGGGGTTAGTTGGGGTTGCCTATGAAACTTTTGGGAATACTAGATATCTATTACTCCTTTGAGATGTTGAGTTTGTTGGAAGAAAATTATATAAGTTTAGAGATTTTGAAATATTAAGTATTGAGTATTGTTTTTTTTAAAGGTTGGGAAATCATGGAGGATTTTAAGTTATGGTTATATGTATTGGATTGTGTATCCATGTTGTCCCATTTTGATTATTACATTAGAGATATCTGTTTTGGCTATCGGTAGAGGATGGTACTACCGTGTGTTAGAACCTATATGTGACTAGGTGATTGAACTATTTATTAAATCAAACGTCTCATTATGCATGAAATGGATTTGGAAATTGGAACCTTTATGTTTTGGAAATACTTATAATATTTTGAGAAAAAGGGTGAATACCGTGTGGAATCTGGGTAGGGAGTGTGTTGTGGTTACTTAAGTTGGCTTAAGTGTCCTTGGTAAAAGTCCAGAAATCGGTGTGGTTGGGTGCCGATTCCTTCCGGATAGTATCGGTAAAATGACAACTGTAGTGCTTATATAGCCTACATTTACATGGATGCCGATCCCTCTGGTGAGAGTATAGTGAAATGGAGATCTTGGTAGGGCTTTTATAGCCTGCTTTTAATACACTTGCCTAGAGATTCCCAGTATTTGTGTTTACCGCCATGTTTACTGTTTTAAAGAAAAGAATTACGAATTATGATTTGAACTCTAGTCACGTGCAACAATGCATTTGTTACCTGATTTTGTGATTCAAGGAAAATGTTTTGAAAAGTGGTTTAACTAAAGGAAGGATTTTGTTGTTGGAAAATGTTTTGAACAAACAAGAACTGTTATTCGAACAAGGTCATGTGTTTGAAAATAGCATTGGGCATATATATATAGCATCATGATCATCTATGCTAGTGAAGTCATATTTAGTTTTTGAAATGTTTTTTACTGGGTTTTATGTTCACCTTACGTGGCTGAAATATTTTTCAGGTGTGATGACTTACCAGATATGGAGATAAGGCATTATATGTGTTCGTGAACTGTGTGAGATTTCTCCACTATTTGCAGGCCTTGAGCCATCTTGTTTTATTGGTCGTGTTCCATTCTTGTAAAGGATTGTACCCTTTTATGTGATGTAAGCTTGCGGGCATATAAATTCTGTATGATCTTATGGCATATCTGTATTTACAACATGTTCATTCAACATAGAACTTGTATGTAGTATGTATGAAATCAGAAGAACTCATATTATGTATGACATTACTACAACAAGTTGGGTCTTGAGTGACGAAATTTTTTTGTCTTCAAAGAGCTAATTTCGTCACTATAGATATTTGTGAGGAAATATTTTCGTCACCGGTTTCGTCATTGAATGTTTGTCACTAAAAACCAACGTGACGAAAAATAATTTCGTCACCAATGAAATTACTTCAGCGACGAAATTTTTTGTCACCAATAAAACAACATTTTGTCGCCAAAAATTCTCATTTTCGTCACCAAATAGTTTTTCAATACCATATTTATAACTTTAGTTGACGAATAAATTTGTCACGCATGTTGATCATTAATGAGGAAATAATTTCGTCACAATAAGATGTAAATACATTTTGTATGTGTTGCATTAGTCACTTGCATAGTAGAACATGCATTTTTTTAATTGTCTTATTTCCATTGGCTTGCCTCGGAGTACTAGGTGAGCATTTATTGCTTTAGCATATTACATGTATGTTTGTGTTGCCATGTCAAGCATGTTTACCATGAGGATAAGTGCTTATCTGATATACCTGTTTGAATGCCTGTGGATGAAGGCTAATTGCTTAAATTGGGATGAATTGATTAACGTACATACAAATTCACTTTTTTCAAGTGACGCGTATTCAAAACAATTTTCAAACAAATATGAAATCAAAGTGTTCCAATTTTTACAAATTAGTCTATACTTGCGTGAAACACATAGAAGTTAGCCCAAATAATCGGAACAAGAGCATATAATGTAAATAAAAATCACATCATGATTAGTAGAGGTCGATCTTTGATCGGGTGAGTGGGGCGCTCAATTAATGACCTTCCCATCTCATACCTAAGTTCCCAAGCCGAAAGACTTTGGTAATGACAGATAAGTGGCTTTTGGCATGAGTCACGGGTTTCTTAAATTTCTCAAAAATATTTAGGTGGCGACTCTATTATCTGGCAAAATAGTCTATTTTTGGCATTTTGATTCAAAACCGATTTTCCAAAAGATTTGTCGTATTTGGACTCATTTTGTGTTTATCTATTTCACGTTACACTTGTGAAATAGGATTCAAAATCACAGTAGTCTGAACTGTAGGGCTAGTCGTATCCGAGAGGAGCACGAAAAGCAAGCTACAACACCCCTTTACCAGATTCACCAAAGTATACAACCATTTTTTTTTTAAAATAATACATTTTCAATGTTTAAGTATGAAATGATGCTCAATGCAAGATGTATGAGTAATTAGCTTCAATTTATCTAATCCTCATGCAATTTCTATAACAATCAAAGATATCCTCCACCGATAGCTCAAAACATATATTTCTATTCAACAGATAATTTTCCAACAACAGATATAATCTCATAAATTTTAAAATAGGAGGGATAATATATGTCAAACTCCACTTTTATCATTAACAGATACATTCTTCTTATCTTTTCAAATCCAACATCATTTCCTTTTCTTTCATAAATCAAACATCAATGATTTTCCAACAAAACCTCATTTACTTTTAAAATCACATTTAAGGTAGGAAATTCTAACATTTCAACATAACCTAACAACATTCACACTCCCACAACCTTTGTGAAGAATTTATTTGAAGAACCTTTATTTTACATTTTAAAATCGAACCCGAGATTTAACCTAAAATTTCCAAATCACTAAACCTTTTTAAAGAGAAAATAACTAAGCTAAAAATTATACCAAAGGTTGAAGAAATCCCTACCTTAAGAGTAGAAGAGGAACAAAAATGGTGGAAGTTTGATAAGGCCGAAAACGAGACCCTTTCTGATTAAAACAAAACTTTCGACAAGCTCTACCTTTTTCTCTACGAAACTATGGTGGAGAAATCAATGGATTAGAGAGTATTTGGGGGTTTAAGGCAAGAACTAGAGAGAGAGTGTAAAGAAATTAGGGTTTGGAGTATTTTAGAAAGAGAGAGGAAGTGAAAAGTGACAAAAACCCTTTTTCCCCAAACTGATATATGCACAGACCGCTTGAGCAACCAAATCACAGCTCGAGTGTCACACACAATAAGTGACACCGCTCAAGCGATGAAAAATACCGCTTGAGCACACAATGATCCCCTCTCAAGATCACCTATTCTCAGAAGTTTTACAGATCTATAAAAATACGGAGAGATCTCAAAGACCGCTCAAGCGACTAAAGTATCGCTCGAGTAAACCAGAAGTGAAACTGACAGCAACTCGATTGAAAAACTAATTCCCAACTTGTTTCAAACACAACCAACAACTCAACTTAACTATCAACAAGATAATAAAGGGCATAAACAATAATTAAAGGTACTGAATCCCGGATCTAAGAGTACGAAAAGGTTTGGGTCTAAACCGGAACCGTTATACCTATTTTTTTGATAATATAATCTATTAGATCCTCTGGGTTGTGTGGGAATGATTTTGTTAACATTTATACCCTTTGTTGGGTGGTGTGGCACGGCTTAGGAGGGATTTTGTTATCCATTGATCACATTGTGAACGTTTTGGAAATGTGGGTAGAATCTTTGTTGGGGTTGTAGGATTTGTGAGCATTGAAAAACGGATTTTTGGGTACAAATGTTCCCATTTTTGGGTGTGGATTGTTCTGCGAACGTCGTATGGTGTGAAGGGAGGGTTTGGCGGCTGGAGTTACTCATGGAATGTATTGATTTTGTTTTGTTTCTAGTTTGTTTTTGGTTAGTGTATTGCTGTTGTGGTTATACAATTCGAAACCCACAAAAGTGTGTGGCATTCATTGGGTTGTTCAAATCACTAAGATAATGCGTTCTCCATCGCAAAACATTTTCACATGGGGAATGGAGTGTTCACATCTCAGAATTCTCAATATTATCATATTTAAATGACTCATGACAGTGTTAATTATTTTTTCGAAGTAGTATGCTGGTAGTGTCATGTCAGAATGTTCCTAATGTTTTGTTGATCATAATTCCGAATAAATCATCTGAGTACCCCATTGTTCACCACGTCGATGGTCACGTCACACACATATAATGCGGATTATTTCCTGCATAATGGGGTAATCGATCAACACATTCCATATTCGGTTTGATTTTTGTTGATTGACATTGTTGTTATGTTAATGTGCAAGAATGAGGGACAATATCATGGTATTGTGTTCTTATGCTACCAACAATGATTCCATTATGTTCGATTGTGAGTAAACATTTGGAAGCTTGCTCAGCCATGTTTGCGACCGATTAGAGGGATTGCAACTTGGGTTGGTGTTTGCTTGACGGCAAACCAGTAATAGCACTAAGCCTTGCCCTCTCCCTTGATCCTGTCCACGGGCTCGATGTTCTTGTAACTTCTGCATTTAGAGGACAATTTATTATCAGCACATGCCACATTCAAAATAAAATAAATGAAAGTTAAAAGCTCACACGGTTAAAATACGTTCGATGCATGCATAACAAGGCATATGATCCATCACTTAACACTGGGACAGTTGGCGATGTGAAGACTATGCGGCTAAATATGTCCTAACAAGATGCAATAATCGGTGCATCCATTGGTACTCCCAGCTTAATATGTGAAACTCAACCCACATTACTAGGACAATAAAAAATAACATGTGCATAAGGACATAACTCAAACACAAACCATGACAAACCTCCTATCCATAAAAAAAAAATCACCCATATAAGTATTCCAGACATAATAGCACCAAAATACCAAAAATATAATTACTAGACACAAAAATAAATAAAAAACCACTGTATAACACGATGTGACTTCCAAAACCACATAGTGACGTATCATTTAATGTCAGAACAAGATAATATAAATGTGCGTGTGTGCACCCAGTTTGCAATGTTAAAGACCATGCGGCTGAGTATGTCCAAACAAGATGCAAAAATCGGTGTGTCCATTGGTACTCACAACTTAACATGTGAAACTCAACCCACATTACCAGGACAATAAAAATAACATGTGCATATGGGCTATACCACTCAAACACATAAATGACAAACCTCCCATGCATCAAAAGAAACACCCACATAAGCATTTCATGCATAACTCCTCTAAAATACCGAACATAAAATTATTGGACAAACATAAACCACTGTATTACACAACGTGACTCCCAAAACCACATAGTATACGGTGTGGAGCAATATGTGAAAAAAAAGTGACCAAGTGGATGAATATGGTGTGATGTATCACTTAATGTCAGGACAAAACAATCTAGATATGCGTGTGCGTACACCCATTTGGTGATGTGACGACCATATGGCTGAGTACGTCATCGGTGTATCCATCGGTATCCTCAGTTTAACGCATGAAAAAACATGTAAAACACAACCCACATTACTAGGACAATAAACATAAAATGCACATATGGAAGCAAGAAGCAAGGAGATCAGTGGGCAATACAATATTCTTCACGGTGTTTGTGGACAACCTACCTAGCTCAATGGATACCAAAGGCTTGTTCAACCTGTTCGGGAAGTTTGGAGTTGTAAAAGATATATTCATTCCTCAGAAGCATAGAAGAAACACCAATACCAGATTTGGGTTCGTTAGATATAGCTGTGAAGTAGTAGCAAACGTTGCTGTACAAAAGGCTAACGGTCTTTGGGTGGATGATAAAAAACTATTTGTCAAATTTGCAGCTTTTGCTAGAAGCAGAGAACAGGGGAAGTTCTTTGCTCAAAACCCAGCCCAACACTTACACCCCAGAGAGGAGGTTAGGAGAGGCTCAATTCATTTCACCAGCAAGAATACCTTTGCAGATGTGGTAAGAGGTACTCAGGTACTAGCCAGTGACTCCAACACAGTTAGAGCAGAGGAGTATGGCAATGGATGGCTCTACGACAGTGTCTTAGTCCGTCTTAAAGTCAGTCATATTAACATTAGTTTGAAGTACGAACTTAATGCTAGAGGAATTGATGGATTTGAAGCCAAAACAGGAGACGGTCGCGATGTGGTGCTAATCTTCAAGTCCAAGGAGGAAATGGTAACAAAGATGAAGGTCATCAAGGACATTATCGAAGAATGGTGTGAAGTCATCATCCAATGGAGGCCACAGGTTGCTCTGGCACAGGAGAGAATAGTTTGGATTCGTTGTTACGGCATTCCATTACATTTATGGAATAGGTCCAATCTCGTTAAGATTGGAAGCATTTGGGGTGAAGTTGTTGAAGGTACTGATTGCATGCTCCAATCTCTTGGGTGTGGTAAGATCAGGATCCTTACCAAATGCATGGAGCCTATTAACAAGGTCATAAACCTGGAGGCGAAGCATTCCTCTCATCCAGTTAGAGTATTGGAAGTTCTGGTCCCAGAAGATAGAACAGTAAATCAATGTTGCAGTTGTTTGAATCGCTCCGATAAGATGAAGGAGCATAGAGATGATGAGGAAGAGGAGGATCATGACTCCAACAGAGTTGGTAAGCCATTGCAGAATATCCGAGATGAGTCAACTCAACCCAGGGAAGGTGGGTCAGCTCAGGGTCTGGACAAATTCAAAATTGAAGCCAGAAGAAGATCGACACGTGGAGATGGCAGTGTAATAGGGGCAAAATGGAAGAGTGATACGGTAGTGCCTGAATCTTGCAGCATAGTAGGTAAGGAGCTCGAGGTTGTGGCAGGTAGCAGTGCATTTAATGCCCCAAAACCGGCTGATCAAGGTAATGATGGGCAAGTTTTCACGCCTGGTTTTATGAGAAGTTTGAATGGTTCTAGCCTAAATATACCTGGGCTGAATTTGGAAGTGGTCCTAGGTAATAATAATTTAAATCATACGTTGGGTGGGCTGACTGAAGTTCAGAGTGGGCTGAATTTGGAAGTGGACCTGGGCCATAATCATTTAAACCATGAGTTGGGTGGGCTAAATGAAATCCAGAGTGGGCCTGAGCTGTGTGATGCTCATGTGAATATAGGAGTTGTTGATGCTGGGCTTGGTTTTAGAAAATCTAATGTTTCTCAGTCAAAAGAGGAACACACACAGCACAGAGCCGTAGCAGTGAAAAGCAAAGGTAAGGCAAAAGCAAAAGGGAATGAGAACATCACAGTTTCCTCTGGCCGAAAAAGGGCTTCCTAGGTTTGGAAAAAAGGGTGGGTTCGAAGGGTGCATTTCCTAGCAAATCAGTCCCAAAGAGTTCTTTGCTTAGAGGATCTATAGCTCAAGCCTCACGGTTAGCATCATATGGCAGCGGAGTAGATGGGGATAGCAGAATTTTGGATGAGGCACAAGCTTGCTTGCAGATGGGTAAAGTATTGGGAATAGAAATGAATGGTCAGGAAGCTGAAGTTCTGAAGAAGATTGTGGACCTTGAAGTTAAAGACATAGATCAGATGGTCAGTGGGGAGGGTGCAGCAGCCTAATAGGTATGCATTCTAGGAGCTCAAAGGTGTTTTTTATGTATTCCATGAAGATCCTATCTTGGAACATTAGAGGATTAGGTCGGCAGGAAAAGAAGGGGAAGATTCGGAAAATTCTGAAGGCTAGAAATGTCGATGTAGTTTTCCTTCAAGAAACCAAAAAATCGGCAGTAGCTGAAAAGGAAGTGCGAACACTGTGGGCAAGAAATAAGATGGATTTTTTGGCAGTGGATTCTAAAGGCCTTGCTGGGGGACTACTATGCATTTGGGATCCAGAGGTATTTCAACTTAAGGAATGTTGTGGCAATAGAAGATTTATTTTGCTCTCAGGTACTCTATTCTCTTCTTTCCATTGTGTTATTCTTAATATTTATGCACCAAATGAAGTGTGTGTTCGGGGTAAGCTGTGGGGATCACTTGATAAAGCTCAGGAGAGAGTTTCCCAACCCCTGGTGTTTGTGTGGTGACTTTAATGAAATTAAAAGTATTGGTGAAAGAAAAGGATGCATTAGAAGAGATAAAGGGATGAGAGAGTTCATTGACTTTATTGACAAATGTGAAGTGCAGGATATGCCTTTACTTGGCAGAAAATATACTTGGTGTAACTCATTAGCTGGTGAAAAGTGGAGTAGAATAGACAGGGTGTTAGTTGATCCTCAATGGCTGGAGGTGTTCAATTTAAAATTGTGGGGTCTCCCAAGGCTCATCTCTGATCACTGTCCTTTGTTATTGATGGAAGATGATCGAGACTGGGGCCCGAAACCGTTTAGAGTAATTAATGCTTGGAGCCTTCATCCAAGCTTTCCAGCTTTTGTGGAGAAGGTTTGGAAAGAGACTGAAGTTCTAGGATGGGCTGGGTTTGTACTTCAAAAGAAACTTAAATTATTGAAGGTAGAATTAAAGAAATGGCATAAAGAGGTATTTGGGTGTGTAAATGAGTAGCTAAAGGAAGCAGAGGAGGAATTGCATCATTTAGATCTATCTGCGGAGTCTAGAGACCTGGACAATTCAGAGAAAGATAGAAGAAGGGTCATCAGAGATCAAGTATGGAGACTAAGCAGAATGGTTGAGTGGCTGTGGTTGCAAAAATCAAGGCTCAATTGGAATTTGAAAGGGGATAGAAATACTAAATTTTTTCATGTGGTAACCAAGAGTAGACAGAGTAGAAATGAGATCTCTTCAATTTCTGTGGAGAATGTGCTGTATGAAGACCCTGCTCAGGTTAGGAAAGCGGCTTTTGACCACTTCAGAAATCAATTCAAAGAGGACTGGAGAAGTAGACCCAAGCTTGGTGGTCAGTTTAAATCAATTCTTGACTGTCCTGGTTTTGACAGTTTGGAAGTTGCCTTTTCAGAGGAAGAAATCAAAGCTGCTGTGAAGGGCTGTGATGGCAATAAAGCCCCTGGGCCAGATGGTTTTAACTTGTCTTTCTTCCAGAAATTTTGGAAATTTTTGAAATCTGACTTGCTGTAGTTTTTCAAGGACTTCCATAGGAATGGTAGGTTGGTCTTGGGGCTTAATAGCTCCTTTATCTCTCTAATTCCTAAGGTTGATAATCCTGTTAGGCTTGGTGATTATAGACCTATAAGCCTTGTTGGTTCGGTTTATAAAGTCTTAGCAAAAGTCCTGGCAAGCAGACTAAAAGGAGTGCTCCCTCACATCATCAGTACTGCTCAATCGGCTTTCATTGGTGGCAGAAACATCTTGGATGGTATTTTAATTGCCAATGAAATAGTGGATGGCTGGAGAAAATCCAAAATGAGGGGTGTGATTATCAAGCTGGATTTTGAGAAGGCCTTTGACTCTGTTAATTGGTGCTACCTATCATCTATGGTCTTGAATTTCGGGTTTGGAGTAAAATGGATTAGTTGGATTAAAGAATGTATCTCCACTGCCAAACTCTCTGTGTTAGTCAATGGGTCACCAACAGAGGAGTTTCCCCCTCAAAAGGGTTTCAGGCAAGGTGACCCCCTATCTCCATTCTTGTTCAACATAGCTGCTGAGGGCCTCAATATCCTTATGTCTAGAGCTCAGCAGCATGGTCTGATTAAGGGGGTGAATGTGGGGTCTAGTGAAGTGTTGTTAACACATCTACAATTTGCCGATGATTCTATTTTGTTTTGCGAAGCTGAGGAAATGGAGGTGTGCAATATTAAGAGGGTCTTGAGGTGTTTTGAAGTGATCTCTGGGCTGAGAATAAATTACCATAAGAGTCTGGTGTGTGGGGTTAATGTCCCTGAGGAGTCTTTATCCGAATTTGCAGCAAGATTACATTGTCAACCCAAGACTCTCCCTTTGAAGTACTTGGGGCTGCCTTTGGGAGCTAACCCAAATAAGAAGTCTACTTGGAAGCCTGTCCTTGATAAAGTCAGAAGCAGACTTGCAGGTTGGAAAAGGAAGCTGCTATCATCCTCAGGGAGGCTCACTCTGCTAAAATCTGTGTCCTCTGCGTTGCCTATGTTTTACCTATCCTTATTTAAAATGCCTGTAGGGATAGCTAGAGAATTTGACAAGCTGCAGGCTAATTTTCTTTGGGGAGGGTCAGAATCAAAGAAACCAATTCACTTGGTTAAGTGGGATGATATAACAAAGAATGTGAAACAGGGGGGTTTAGGTGTCAGGCGAGTTAGGTTGGTTAATGATTGTATGCTACTAAAATGGTGGTGGAGATTTGGCTCCGAGAAAGATGCCCTGTGGAGAAAAATAATCTGCAGCAAGTATAATTTGGATGTAAACAGCTGGAGCCCCTCTTCCTTCCCTAGCAGCAGGCTCTCTTGTGTTTGGAAAGGTATCATATCTATACCAGAGAGGAGAAATAGCCTGATGGTATTTTATCTCAATAACGTTCATATCAAGGTAGGGGATGGGAATAGAACATTCTTCTGGAAGGATATATGGTGCAGCAATTCTAGCTTGAAAGATGAATTTCCAACTCTTCACAGACTGGATGTGAACAAGGAAGAAACCTTGAGATCAATATATGACAGGAGGGTACATTCAGGGGCTTGGAATTTTCAATTCAGAAGAAGGTTATATAAGTGGGAAGAGAGGGAAGTTAGTAGGCTTAATTTGCTCCTGGCTTCTGCATCTGCTCCATGTTCTGTTCTGGAGGACAAATTAGTCTGGTTGGTTGAAGGATCTGGGTTATTTTCTGTCTCCTCTGCTTATAATAATAAAATTGACTCCCTTAGTCCCTCTCTCATTTCTTGTAAGTTTGTTTGGAACTCTTTTGCCCCTCCTAAGGTTCAATTCTTCTGTTGGTTAGCATGGAGAAACAGAATCAAGTCAGCTGATTTTCTTCAGAAAATTGGAGTGATACAAGCCAATGCTCCTGCTGCATGTGTTTTTTGTAATTCTGAGCCTGAATCTTCTACTCATCTCCTGCTGCATTGCTACTTTGCATGGAAGGTTTGGGCTGATATGATGGACTGGTGGGAGTTGAAGGGGGCTATTCCAGGTTCAGTAGAAGGTATACTTCACTGGTGGGCTGGTGTGTCTTTGAACAGGAAAGAAAAATGGATATGGAAGGTCATTCCCTTAGCTGTCGTATGGTGTCTGTGGAAGCTTAGGAATGAGTGCATCTTCAAATCTGCTTCGCCTCAATTAGTGGACCTGTGTGAGTTGATCAAAATAAGAGTTGCGTTGTGGCTCAAACATAGATTCAAGGACTGCCATTTCTCTATTCAAGATTTCTTAACCAACCTGAGGCAAATAAGATTGAGTCTGGGGAGCAGATCTGCCTTGGGCAGCTGACACTGGGTTGGAGTTGTCTTGAGGCTGCTGCAATGGAGATGATCCTGCTGGGTTAATCCTGCCTTGGTGCATTGGAGTTGATCCTGCTGTTATGTGCTGATTAAAACTTGGGACTGCTCTGTTCTGTGCTGATGAACCAATGTTGGAGGACCATTTAAACAGTATTGCAATTTGCTTGGGGTTTTGACAGTTGCTGTCTCTGAGTCTCTGTGCTGGTGGGATGCTTCTGTCTAGTGGGCTGCTTGGTTGATAACTTTCCAACCTTTTTTGCCCCGTCTGGTTTTTTGTGAGCTTTGCTGGGCTCCTTTTTTTGTTGATTATCAATGTCTCTTTGCTTGATAATTTTCAATAAATTTCCTTTTGGCTGTTTCAAAAAAAAAAAAAAAAAACATATGGCTTTACGCAAAAAACACATCCCAACCATAAAGTATTTCCAACATCCTCCAAACACTACATCATATAAACATATCAACCCAAACGTTTCTGTCAAACCCTAATTACGGAATGTGGAATGGATTAATTCCATTTCCCTGTAAGCAATCTACATTTGTACAATGTGGGAACTAAAGATTCTGAACAAGATTTACGCAAAATTCAAAAACCTTTAAGCAAATGTAACCAAAAATCCAGTGTGGAGATTGTGTTCCAAATTTGGGGGTCTCACATAGGGAGTGCAAGATTTGATTGTGGGATGACCAAATCTGTGTGAATGATTACAAAACCCTCGTGCGAGAAGATTGTGTTCCACCAATTTAGGGTTCACACAATTTGGAAAATATTCGAATGTGGTTGGCAAATGGTGTGGATGAACACAAAAACCCTTATGTGAGTTTTTTCCTAATGTGACACACAAACACACCACTCAAAACACGAAAATTGTATCCCACTAATTTGGGGCTCACACTATTTAGAAAAGATTTTAATATGGATGGAACGTTGGTGTGGATGAACACAAAAAGCCTTAGGTGCGCTTTTTTCTAATGTGGCACACGAACAAACCACTCAAAACACGGAGACATAATCAATTCAATCACACAGCCTAAATGAGGGCAAATTTGTCAAACCAGACACAATAAGACCTATGAGTTTATTAAGATAAATGTGGGACTGGTTGTACCACAAGTCCATTTAATGAGATTTATGGGTCAATCACCCTTAAAATAAATCTCCGGCACTTAATATATATTTTTGTTAACTTCTCTTGTCCTAGTTTTTAAAGGTTTTTTTTAGATAAATTACAAACATACCCCTAATTAGGTTTGTTTAAAATATGGATTGTCTCATGTAGTTTTAAAAATTACAAATTTTCTATTATTAGAATTTTTTTATTTAACGTAATTAATAGAAAAAATAAATTTCCAACTACTCTATTAAATAACAATAAAATTACTTGAATTATTAATTGAAATATATTTTTCATATCAGTAAAAACTATTAATTGATTTGAAAAGTTATTAATAAAAAATGTCACTTGTTATATGGCTGAAAACTTAAAAAGCCAGGATATAATTTTTAAAATTATATAGGATAATTCGTATTTTAAATAAATTGAAGAATATATTTGTAATTTATTCTTTTCTTTTTTATCGATAAAATATTTTTTTTTATTAAGTCGAAATATAAGCATAAGAAGAAGGCCAACAGGAGAGAGCCAGCTCAAAGAAAGGCGTGAAGAAGAGGAAGTCCATCTCCATCTCCATCTCCATCTCCATCTCCATCTCCATCTCTATCGTGAGTTTGTCTTTTCGTTTGTTGTCTGCCCCTCTCTCATCTCTCTCTCTCTCTCTCTCTCTCTCTCTCTCTCTCCCTGCCTGTCTCTGGGGACTCTCAATGGCTTTGGTTGGGGCGGCACTGAAGCTTTTACTCCTCCTATGGCTAAAACTCAACGCTCTAACTTTCTGTCAAGGTTCTGTTCTCCTCCCTCTTCTCTCTCTCTCTCTCTCTCTCTCTCTCTTTACATTATTTTTTTATTTCTCTCCCTCTCTCTCTCTCTCTGTGTGACAAAGTTCTAAATCTAATCTACACACCCAAGACTCACAATGTGACTGCAATGGAGATATCAAGAAAAATTAAGCTAAATCACCATCCACATCCACTCCAAATTTTTAAAAGTATTTTTCGGTCTTCTTATTATTTTTTCATGGCTAAACAAGACTTCACATTTTCACCTCTTTATATGTATTTCGAATAAAATTTTGTGATCTTTTTTTTTTTTTTTGTCTGGACCATTACTAAAGCTGTAAGTCTTTATACGACAATTATTTTACAATAATAATAATAATTTCTTCATAGGCTAGATTAAGACTGTATTTGAATTTTGTATGAGTTGGATATGAAAAAGAAAAGTAAAGTAAATAGAAGTTGTTGATTTGTTGTTGTGTCATTATAATAAGTTGCAAATATGCAGGTAAAAGCAGCCATAACAGGTGGGAAAACGATTACCCATTCATCAAGGCAGCAAGTTCTTTCTCATCATCATCATCATCAAGTTCATCGTCGAGTGGTAGAGAAAAGACATATGATTACATAATAGTAGGGGGTGGCACAGCTGGTTGCCCATTGGCTACCACTCTCTCTCAGAATTACAGTGTGTTGTTAGTGGAAAGGGGAGATGTACCCTTTGGCAACCTAAATGTGTCACACCTGAACAACTTCCATATCTCTTTGGTGGACACTTCACGGACCTCAGCAGCACAAACCTTCATATCCACCGATGGGGTCTTTAATTCCAGAGGCAGGGTGTTGGGTGGTGGCACTGCCATCAATGCTGGCTTCTACACTAGAGCCAGCACAAGGTACCACTACTCTTTACCTCTACTCTCTAATTCTCTCCCCCAACACACCCATAGTGATGATAGTCACAAAGTACATATTATTTACGTGATATTTTCAATTAATGAATGAAGTTAAAAAAAAAATAAAATACTTGTAGACCATACATTTTTTCTTTTGCATCATTTTGATTTTTGTATCCTTCATTTGCTCAATTTTTACCTTGAATTTTTGGAGCAAGGATCTTCTAGAGTTTTTTTTTCCTAAAATTTCCTAGAGTGGTGCATTGTGTGGCTGAGATTTAATGACAAGTCACATCAATTTTTCAGCATTAAATCTCAACCACACAATACACCATTTTAGAAAACTTTAGGAAAAAAAACACTCTAAAGGATCCTTGGTGGAATTTTTGGTCTAACTAAAAGGAAAAATTGATGATAAATCTACTTTTAGGGTTGTAAGGTTATGATTAATGAATTATTTGTTGAGAAAGAGAAATTATTATTTTGAAGGATATATATATATATATATATATTTATCTATCGTCATTCGACCGTTAGTCACAAACACCAAAAAAGTCACTGACACTAAAAAATTTGTTGAGAAAAGGTGGCTGGTCAGTGGTGACTGGCGATTATGATACGAATAAATAGATACATTAGGTGAGCAGATAAGTACAATAGTAAAAAAAGAAAAGAAAAATAGGTAAGAATAATATGATTTTTTAAATTGTAATTATCTTTATGATTTCAAAATATTAGAGTTTGAGGCAATTTTAAAATTAAATTTATGGCCTAAGTGCCCTAATTAAAACAACCTGCTGGACTTTTAACAAAAAGTTTTGCTAACAAGTGCTCATAAGGTATATGAAAAATATAAAAGATATGTCAATTCCGAGATATTTATTATTAAATTCAATATATTTTTTATTGATTTCAAAACCAATAATATTAGATTTCATAAAAGAAATATCATGAAAAGTTTCATGAAAATTCTCCACTCTTAAATTAGTTTGTAGTGTTGCATGTTATGCAATCACAATTGGTTTAGTTTCATGAATTTTTTCATGAAGGGTAATATTACTCTTAACAAGGTCCTATCACGTTGAGTTTTAAAAATAAATTAATAAATAAAAACTCACTAATATATATATACATTTATTAAGAGAGGGGGAGGGAATAAAAATCGTCACTAAAAATTAATGTAATTCAACACTCAAATATATAAAATAGGACATTCGTTTCACCAAGGATCCTCTAGAGTGTTTTTTTCTTAAAGTTTCCTAAAGTGGTGTATTGTGTGGTTGAGATTTAATGCTGAAAAATTGATGTGACTTGTAATTAAATCTCAACCACACAATGCACTACTCTAAGAAACTTTAGAAAAAAAAAAAACTCTAGAAAATCCTTACTCCCTTCGTTTAATGTATCCCTATTTAATACGTAACAAATAATAAATTAAAGGATACATGTTAGCATAGACCAATGTTACATGGGTCTGGAATACTTTCTGAATCCACAATGTTGATGGGATATAATCAGTGAAAAGTTGAAAAAATAATTTTAAATATATAAAAAAATTTATAAAATTAATTTTTAATATTATAAGAATTATTAGTAATATATAAATATTTTTTTTAAAATTACACTGAAATGAAATTCTCTGATGATTCTGGCATTTGATCACAGAGAGCAATGTTAGTTAGTTTTGTGTCATTATGCATTCATGGATGAATATATAAAGTCATTATTGTAGCTGTTTTTTTTTTGGGTGAATAGTCCCTGTAGATGTTGATAGTACTCAACTGGGCCTCACTAGGTAGAGTACTGGTTGGTCGTCTTACTAAAGGTGAAAAGTCTTGAAACCACGTTTAACATGAAGGCCAAGTTTGGTATATGGAAAATAATTTATTTTTTTACTTTTTTTTCATCATATTATCTCTTTAATTTTTTGTACATCTTTTCGTAAAAAGATAAAAAGTATACTTATTTAGGTCATCTCAAACAAAAAAACCTTTAAAAAAAGGAAGAAAAAAACCAAAAAAAAAAAAAAAAAAAAAAAACACCCACCTTATTTTGTAATTATGAAACATTTTATTTTTGTTTTTAATTCATGGATGTTAATAAATCACATCATATGAAAACTTTAAACGGATGCATTTTTACAAAAATAATTATAATCATAGAAAAAATTTATTAATATTAATAATTAAAGTTATAATTTTTTAATAATTTTGTAATTATTTTTCTAATACTACACATAGTTTTTCCAACTTTAATAGTCCAAAGATTGTTTTGTTCACGCATAATTTAGAAGATTGGAAGTGATAATTGTAGGTTCCTCATACAAGTTTTTGTTTATTGTTCATTTTAAACATGGATATGGTATTTATGATGATTTGATCTTTTTTTTTCTTTTTCTTTTTTCCTTTAAATGAGTATTGCTACTCGGTTCTAAAAATTAGACCAACTTTAGATGTATTGCTACACAGTATTTCTCACATTTATTCTTTAATTATCAACTAATTATTTTATTGACACATTACTAAATTTAGAAAATAAACTTATACATCATTTCTCCTTAAATTTATTGTGCCTGCCTTAAATTGTATGTGTGGGTTGGTCATCAATATTTTTATTTAATAGCGAGTTTGTACATAAAAAGATACATAGTACTAACATTTATGGTTGTCCGACAACGATACACCTCCCCACCCACCCATATACCGCCATTGAATTCTAAATTGCTTATTGAAAGATTGTTAAGAATTCCTTGTCCTTAATTATTTATTTTTTCAATTCTAATGCACATAAATCTCAAGACAAGATTTAATAGTTAAAAGTGTATTGCACCAAAAAAATATAATAAAAAAAAAAATTGAGAAGATAAGTTTTTGAAATTCATTTTGGAAGATAAGTTTTTAAAAAGAGTCTGGAAAATTTAAAACTTGTTTAGTTATGAGTTTTGAAATTAATTTTTTAGTTGTATATTTTGAAAGTTGCTTTTAGAAATTTGCAAATTGAAAACTTATTTAGTTAGGAATTTTCAAAACCAATTTTTTAATTAAAGATTTTTTGGGTCTTGTATTTTTTTTTATTTATATTTTGTTTTATTTTTTGTCTTGTAATCAAAACTTTTACAATATTATAGTCAATTTTATTTATTTTTTTACATAAGTAGTCAAAACTTTTTACAATATTATAGTCAATTTTATTTTTATTTTTTATTGTTATATATACTTTTATGTACGTAATCTAAATATACTTTGCAAATAGATCTAATATAATATATAGGACATACTTTTATAGGTATATATTAGTTCGAAAAATGCCTTTAAAATTTTAAAACTGTTTTTCTGATTTATTTCCACTCAATCTACATACATTTAAAACGTTTCATATTTATTACATTGTTTTTTCATTTCTTCACATTTTATTTATTGTTTACATATATTTTTTGAATCGCTCATATATATATATATATATAACAAATTATTTAGCCAATACTTAGAAAACATTTTAGGAAGAAATTTCCAAATAACTTTTCTTTCAATTACACATCAATCAATCATTTTTTCCTTATTCTTTCTCTTTCTCAATCAATTTTTCTCACACCCATCTATTTAACTATAAAAAAATATCAAATCATCCCAAATTCCAAAACTCTAATATACAATCAAATTATACAATCAAACAAATTTTCAAATTTTATAAACTCTCCAAAAAATTATTTTTGAGATAATATCTCAAAATACAAACTAAACAATGCCAAATTTAAAACTTGTTTGATTATGAATTTTGAAAATAATTTGAAAATTTAAAATTTCATATTATTTAATTTCAATAGGTCAATTTGTTTGTATAGCATTTTTCATTCCAAAACACTTTTCACCTCAAGCTTGATACCGAGCAATGCTCAAATGGGCACTACTAACATTGCCTTTTAAATTTTGAAAAATAATGGAAGTTTTGATTTAAAATGGAAAATTTATATAATGTAACATTGTTCTGCACGTCAAATGTTGCCCTTTTAACTCTTAATTAATCTAATTTTTGACAGAAACGAGCTGAACATGCTTTGATGATGAAACTCCTTGGCTTGCAGGTATGTTAGGAATGTAGGTTGGGATGCTAAATTGGTGAATGAGTCATATCGATGGATTGAGAAGCAAATTGTTCATAGGCCAAACCTGGCGCCATGGCAGATGGCCGTAAGAGACAGTCTTTTGGAAGTTGGGGTATCGCCTTTTAATGGATTCACTTATGATCACTTGTATGGAACCAAGGTTGGTGGAACCATTTTTGACAAGTTTGGCCACCGCCACACTGCTGCTGAGTTGCTTGCTTCCGCGAACCCTGAAAAACTCAATGTTTTGATTCATGCCACAGTTCAAAAGATTGTTTTTGACACGATAGGTAATGTTTACATTTGGATATATGTTGTGTTGTTTGGCACAATATTGTAAGAGCACTAATGTTAGAAATACCGAAATGGAACATAAAATGAGACACATGCTAGCTTGCGAGTGTTTCTGTGTTCTGTTTTTGTGTGCCAAGTATTTCAATGGCCAAAATAGCTACATATGCACAATATTATGAGAGCAATAATGTTAGAAACACAAAATGAGACACAAGCGAGCTCGTGAATATTATGAGAGCAATAATGTTAGAAACACAAAATGAGACACAAGCGAGCTCGTGAGTGTCTATGTCCCATGTTATGTGAGGTTCTTTTCTTTCTTTTTCTTAATGTTAGAAACACAAAAACAAAACACAAAATGAGATAATGCTAGCTTGTATGTGTCTGTGTCCCATGCTGCATTATGTTTCTGTGTGCCTGGTGTTTCAATGGCAAAAAAAAGTTAAAGAGGCGCCAATATAAGTTGTTCATCTCCAATGCAGGGAAGAAACCAAAGGCACTGGGAGTCATTTTCAAAGATGAACATGGGAACAAACACACAGCATTTCTGTCGAAGAGGCGAGGGAGTGAAATAATAGTGTCGTGTGGAGCAATTGGCAGCCCCCAAATGCTACTACTGAGTGGCATTGGACCCAAAGCTGAACTTAGAAAGTTGAACATATCGGTTGTGCTTGACAATGTGTTTGTTGGGAAAGGCATGGCTGACAACCCCTTGAACTCGGTTTTCATTCCAACTGATGGACCTGTGGAACAGTCCTTGATACAAATTGTAGGAGTTACCAAGATGGGTGTGTACATTGAGGCTAGTAGTGGATTTGGGCAGTCGAAGGATAGCATTCGGTGCAATCATGGAATTGTATCAGCTGAGGTTAGTTAAATTCTACTTATTGGCACCAAATCAATTGAAATTCAAGCTGTCGATCATATTTTTAACGTGTTAAAAGTACGTGGAGTGGTAGTCATTTTTTGACTTCGGAGGAAATATGTTGCTGATCTTGTAAATTACTTTGTGTCTGCAATTTGTTTCTCCCTTTGTCTGACTTCACCACTAAATCGTAGAAAGGCATATCATGCCTTGAAATATTTTGTGATCGCAGTTTGCTGATATGTAGTGCTCATGTTCTTCTACTTGAATATAGAAGTTCCTCGCCTGAATCTCCTGAATTTGTATAACATAGGCTGTTACTATACTTTTTCGCGGTATTTTCATATTTTATGTTTTTGGTTATGCTTTAAACAATGGTATTGGGATAAGTATCAATATTGGCGATACGGTCATTGATTAGTCAATATGAGACAATATGGGCCAATATACAAATAATGATATCAAAAGTTTAAAATCCCCATACATGTTTTAAAAGGAGGGTCACTTAATAGTGGGATAGAAAAGAAGAAGAAAAATTTACACGAACATGGTAGGTGCAACTCAACTTCTGCATTTTTTTTTTTTTCTTTTGCCCCACTATTGAGTGATTCCCTCTATTTTAAACCTGCTCCTTACTAAACTTTTTATTGTTTTGTGAGCAGATTGGCCAGCTCTCCACCATTCCCCCAAAGCAAAGAACCCAAGAAGCTATACAGGCCTACATCAAACGCAAGCGACAGCTACCACACGAAGCATTCAAGGGAGGTTTTATTCTAGAGAAGATTGCCAGACCCATTTCAACAGGCCAGCTCAGTCTCATCAATACCAATGTCAACGATAACCCATCTGTCACCTTCAACTACTTCAGCCATCCCTATGATCTACAACGATGCGTTGGTGGCATTCGTATAGTTGAGAAGCTTGTGAGAGCCAAACACTTCACAAACTTCACTCAGTGCAACAAACAAACTTTAGAGAAGCTGCTTAATATGAGTGTTGAGGCTAATGTCAACCTCATACCCAAACATACTAATGACACAGAGTCCTTGCAACAGTTTTGCAAAGACACTGTAACTACAATTTGGCACTACCATGGTGGGTGCCACATAGGCAAGGTTGTGAGCGCTAACTACAAGGTTCTTGGTGTCCACAGGCTCCGTGTCATCGATGGCTCAACATTTAGTAAGTCACCCGGTACTAATCCTCAAGCTACTGTAATGATGTTGGGCAGGTAATTAAGATCACAATACACATGTTTAGATTTACCTTATAACTAGGTATAAAGTTGAGGCGCTAATGGTTTCTTGTGACGTGCGGTTGTGCAGGTACATGGGAGTGAAGATTTTGAGAGAGCGACTAGGAAGATCAGCTGGTATATAGAAACCATAGGGCCAAGTAGGAGCACAAAGTGGGGCAATGTGTGTTGTGATAGTGGAAATGTAATTTTCTTCTTTTAATTCCTAGCAAGCCCCAATTAAGCTGTTTAATCCACAATATGAATTCTAGCTTGTAGTGTCTTGGTTCTAAAACCCGATTTGAATCCACTTGTACGGATGCCCCATCACACTTTCGGGTTTATGAATGGATGGATCACATTGTTGTTATTATTATTTATTTTACTTTCATTTCTGCTGTTTGCAGTTGCTATTTTTATATTTAGATCTCGTTCAACAAGTATTTCGTTCAACAAGTATTTGTTTTAGCTTAAAAATTAAAAAGTTATTAAAAAATTTAAAATTTTTATAACTTATAACAAAAAGTTAAGGTTGCGTTTGGTAAGTTTTGAGTTTACCCCTCCCCCCTCCCCTTTTTTTTTTTTTTTTTTTTTTTTTTTTTTTTTTTTTTTTTTTTTTTTTTTTTTTTTTTTTTAATAAAAAAAAAAAAAAAAAAAGATAAAATAAAATAAAAGAAAGTGATAATGGACGATGCCAGCCATTAGAGTAATAAAATATGAAATAGTCAGGGATTTGGGTGTAGGGTGGTCCATGGAGTTGGTAAAACCAGCACATGGTTTGTGGGGTTGGTTGTTCAAAAAGATGGGTGTAAAAAAAAAGAAAGGGAGGTGGTGGAAATAAAAAAATAAAATAAAGGAGGAATTGGTAAAACCAGCACATGGTTTGTTGGGTTGGTTGTTCAAAAATATTGGTTTAAAAAAAAAAGAAAGGGAGGTGGTGGAAATAAAAAATAAAATAAAGGAGGAATTCTGAGAGAGAGAGGTGCCGAGACAGTGAGAGAGCTCTGTTAGAGAGAGAGAGCTGGGTTTGGTCTTTTGTTAATGTGTATCTCTGTGTGATGGGTGTGTCTCGTGAGAGACCCAGCTAGAGAGAGGTGAGAGAGAGCTGTGTGGGTATGTGCTTGGGTGTCTGTGTGTGTATCTTGTGTGTTTGCTGTGTGTGCGTGTGTGCATGGTGAGAGAGAGTGCAGTGGTGGCTGAAACCGCGAGTGCAGTAGGGAAGAGAGCCGGCTGATGTTGACTTCTGCTCGATTACCATTGATGGAAGTTCGGACAATAATATATTGCAGCAGCGGCTTCACAGTGTTGCGAGCCAACAAGAGGAGCTGCAACAGATGGAGATTAAGCTTCGAGCTCAAATCATTGTGGGATCTGAGAACATGGAAATGCAGAGCAGCTTTGATGCTCAGATTAAAGAGCACGCCAATGCCAATGTCAAGCTTCAAGGTTATTGGTTTCTAAGGGCTGAAAGAGACAGAAATGATGGGGGAGGGATGACAGACGATTTGGGATAAGAGCAACAGGGGTGGTAGATGAAGACGACCGAGATGGTGGTGTATAGAAGGACAACAGTGAGAGGAGGGGCAGTGGTGGTGGACTCGAAGAAATTTCATGTGTGTTGTTCTGCCGTGTGTCCATGCATGTGTATGTTGGCAGCCGTGTGTTGTGTGTGGAAGGAGAGAACCAGCCCCGTGTGTTGTGTGCTGTGTGGTGTACATGTGAATGGTGTGTGTAGTGTGTATCTCAAGTTCTCCTCCGTGGTGTGTCTCTCCCTGCTGCTGCTACGTGAATGGGTGTGTGAGAGGTGTGTCCTCGAGAAGGGTTTGGATTGATGAGAGGAAAAGTGGGATCCAACGGGTGCCGAGAGGAATTGGTGCTGCGGTGGTGAAGTGTTGTTGAAGAATCTGCCATTGAAGAAGAAATTAGGGAATTTTGGGTTTGTCCGGCGGGCGGCCAAGGCGAGATTGCCGCCCGCCGGTGGAACGAAAATTACTAGGTTCTTAACCTTGCTCTGATACCATGTAAGAATTTATGTATTATTGATTGATTTGTATTACAAGATTGTTGTATATATTTTGTATATTACAAGCTATTATATAGGAGAGGATTTGGGAGTAGGTGAGGTAGGTGAGTGGTGGTAGTGGATGGTAGTGGAGGTGGTGGGTGGTAGTGGAGATGGTAGGTGGAGTTGGTGGTGTGGTAATTTACACAATTTACAATTTACATTGACAGTCTGACTTCACCACTAAATCGTAGAAAGGCATATCATGCCTTGAAATATTTTGTGATCGCAGTTTGCTGATATGTAGTGCTCATGTTCTTCTACTTGAATATAGAAGTTCCTCGCCTGAATCTCTTGAATTTGTATAACATAGGCTGTTACTATACTTTTTCGCGGTATTTTCATATTTTATGTTTTTGGTTATGCTTTAAACAATGGTATTGGGATAAGTATCAATATTGGCGATACGGTCATTGATTAGTCAATATGAGACAATATGGGCCAATATACAAATAATGATATCAAAAGTTTAAAATCCCGATACATGTTTTAAAAGGAGAGTCACTTAATAGTGGGATAGAAAAGAAGAAGAAAAATTTACACGAACATGGTAGGTGCAACTCAACTTCTGCATTTTTTTTTTTTCTTTTGCCCCACTATTGAGTGATTCCCTCTATTTTAAACCTGCTCCTTACTAAACTTTTTATTGTTTTGTGAGCAGATTGGCCAGCTCTCCACCATTCCCCCAAAGCAAAGAACCCAAGAAGCTATACAGGCCTACATCAAACGCAAGCGACAGCTACCACACGAAGCATTCAAGGGAGGTTTTATTCTAGAGAAGATTGCCAGACCCATTTCAACAGGCCAGCTCAGTCTCATCAATACCAATGTCAACGATAACCCATCTGTCACCTTCAACTACTTCAGCCATCCCTATGATCTACAACGATGCGTTGGTGGCATTCGTATAGTTGAGAAGCTTGTGAGAGCCAAACACTTCACAAACTTCACTCAGTGCAACAAACAAACTTTAGAGAAGCTGCTTAATATGAGTGTTGAGGCTAATGTCAACCTCATACCCAAACATACTAATGACACAGAGTCCTTGCAACAGTTTTGCAAAGACACTGTAACTACAATTTGGCACTACCATGGTGGGTGCCACATAGGCAAGGTTGTGAGCGCTAACTACAAGGTTCTTGGTGTCCACAGGCTCCGTGTCATCGATGGCTCAACATTTAGTAAGTCACCCGGTACTAATCCTCAAGCTACTGTAATGATGTTGGGCAGGTAATTAAGATCACAATACACATGTTTAGATTTACCTTATAACTAGGTATAAAGTTGAGGCGCTAATGGTTTCTTGTGACGTGCGGTTGTGCAGGTACATGGGAGTGAAGATTTTGAGAGAGCGACTAGGAAGATCAGCTGGTATATAGAAACCATAGGGCCAAGTAGGAGCACAAAGTGGGGCAATGTGTGTTGTGATAGTGGAAATGTAATTTTCTTCTTTTAATTCCTAGCAAGCCCCAATTAAGCTGTTTAATCCACAATATGAATTCTAGCTTGTAGTGTCTTGGTTCTAAAACCCGATTTGAATCCACTTGTACGGATGCCCCATCACACTTTCGGGTTTATGAATGGATGGATCACATTAATTGTTGTTATTATTATTTATTTTACTTTCATTTCTGCTGTTTGGAGTTGCTATTTTTATATTTAGATCTCGTTCAACAAGTATTTCGTTCAACAAGTATTTGTTTTAGCTTAAAAATTAAAAAGTTATTAAAAAATTTAAAATTTTTATAACTTATAACAAAAAGTTAAGGTGCCGTTTGGTACGTTTTCAGTTTATATTTATAAAAATTTAAAAAACTCAAATAAAAACTTGTTTGGTAAATTTTTGATTTATAAATCAGTGGTCTCAGTGCATTTATAAATTGGCCAAAAAATGTAAACTAAAAAAAAAATATGTTTCGTTTTGAATTTTCCAGTTTTTTTTTTTTACTACCCAACACTAACCACCACCCACCACCATTTTTTCACCATCGTCTTCCGCCACCGCCACCAACCCACCACCACTCACCAACCCACTTGCCACCACTACCGCCACCCACCACCACCACCCACTGCCACCACCCACTGCCACCACCACCCACCCCCCCACCCACTTCCCCACCTGCCTACCACCACCAACGCGCACCTCACCAGCCACGGCACCACCACCACCACCACATCCACCCACTTGCCCACGCAACCCACCCATACCACCACCAACCGCCACCATACTCGCCAACGACCACCACCTCCACACCTGCCATCTACCATCCATCACCCACCTACCACCACCATCCACCCACTCCGTCACCGCTTTTCCACCATCCGTCTTTCTGCCGCCAGCCACCACCCGCCACTTGCCCATTTTCTACTTTCCACCACCGTTTCTGCTAGCCTCACCACCACCTGCCACTATTTTTCACCACTGTTCCGCCACCACCACCCGCCATCATTTTCCACACCAGTCTTCCGCACCACACTCGTCACACCTACTACCTATCACCACTTGCCATTTCTCACTCTTTTTTTATATTTTTTAAATTTTTTTAACATTTTGTCTAAACCAACGCATTGTTTTATGTTTTTTTCCTAAAAAAAACAAAAATTAACAAAACTAGTTTTATAAAATTTTTTGTAAATATAAACTGAAAGCGTAAACATTACCAAACAGGCCAATGATTCGATTTTTTTTTCTTTACACTCTTTTCGTAAAAATTAAAAATCATTTCAAACATATTAATTTTTTTTATCTAATATTTTAACTGAAAAATCAAAAAATTACCAAAATAGCTGTTCCAAACGAACCGTTAGAACTGTCCCAGAAGACCTGCTTTAGCACCTTTTCTTTCTTTGTCGTGCCCGTAACCACCTAGCTCAATGCCCGCTTTGTCCCGATCTCTAAAAGATAGATCAGGGCGCAAAAATATCAGTTTTGATCCTTATCTCTTTCTCTTTCTGTTGTTGCGATTTCTCTGGGTTTCTTGGGCTTCACCTTGATTTTAGAGCATT